CGCTGCCCTTAACCCCCGGCTGGCGGCGGACAGCGACGAGGAGGCAGGCAGGGGGGCCAGCGAGGCCACCACCACCTCCCGTCGCCCTCCGCACATTGCTCCCCTGGAGCCCGAAGCCAAGGGACCGGAAGGAGCAAAGGTGGACCCTAAGAGGGTCCAGGGACAAGGTCCAGGCGGAGTGTGAGCTGAAGGACCGCAACTTCCGACTCTAATTTGGAAAGTCCCGCGAGAACGGGCTCCCTGTCGCTGAGATCTCGCGAGAATTAAAAACCAAAAATAAAATCTTCGTTAACGTGGGCGGAGCCATCTTCCTGCAGTCTCTCTCCCAGGAGGCACGTAAGGAAGGTCCGCGATAGGTCCAAGTATCGCGAGGTGTGGGGTCGGTCGCAAGTTTGGTGCGGATACCAGAGCTGGGAGCTCGGGAGCGATTCTTAGGCTCCGGGATGCAGTGGATTTTTAGGGGAACTGCCATAAATATCGTCCCTGCGATCGTGGCCTTCTGTCCTGTCGCCGGTGCTCGGTCCCTTCGTGGCGTCGCAGGACGCTTTGGATCTTCAGGAGGCGAACTATTTCCTCCTGCAATACTGCTTCAGGACACCCGCCGAGGGCCGAGTGAAATCAGTGCGTTTTGTATTAAATCATAAACAACTTCGGGTACAAAAGCAGCCACACTTGCTATAAAGAGAAAGTAAACGTAAAAACTCCGCTAAAATTCAAAGTTTTCCTCTGCACCATCCGCAGTTATCCATGGTCTGTAGAACGTCACGGGGAACGCCAAACGAGCCGTCCAGACTGCAACTCCATGTGTGCTGACACTTCCAGACGTTGTACATGGATTAATCCAGAAATGGCTCCCACACGTGTTCGAATCTTTTCAGTGCTGTGCCGTTTCCCTGATTTACGTTAGCCTGAGTGGGCCTGTGTTAGTTTCACACCTGTGGCGGCTGTAACCAGTTACCACAAACTGTGGCTTAAGACCACACAAGTGCGTTGGCTTGCAGACAACACTGATTATCTCCCAGTTCTGTAGGTCAAAGTCCTGGCGCTCTTTTTGGGCTAAAATCAGGGTGTCAGCAGGGCTGCATTATTTTCTGGAGGATTTCTGGGAGAATCTATTTCCTTGTCATTTCCAGCTCCTGTCTCCATTCCTTGGATTATGGTCGCCCTCCTCCATTTCAGACCTGAGAAACAGCCTCTCTCTGACCCTTCCTGATCAAGTCTCCTGCTCATTGCAGGAAGGTTCCTTGGTTTTGAGGGCTCACCTGGACATAATCAAGAAGATGATTTTCCCTTTTCTTCTTTTTTCTTTTCTTTGAGAGGTTTTTGCTATAGGGCACGAGCACTCTCAAGAAAGAGAGAGAGAGACAGAAAGGGAGAAATCCCCCCCCCCAGAGTGCTTGGC